TTGCACGCCAGCAGCACACGCTCGCTCACGCGTCCTTTCTGTGTGTTTTCTGTCCTTCAAGCGACACCAGCGACAGCCTCTCCGAAGCCGAGGAGACGCCGATCGTCATCGAAGCCGTGAGGGAAGCCAGCCTGCCCACGTGCACCGCCCGCGACGTCCTCCCTTTTGAGAACATCATCCGAGACACTTTCCCCAAAGCCACCGTTTCTCCAGTCAGCCAGGCTGCCCTGGAGGTGGGACCTCTGGGGAACTCACACCCACGATTTCGAGGTGGAGGGTCGAGATAAGGAACGAGACGTCGATGAAAACGATGACAATCCTTCCTGAATCGCTGTATCCGTGTTATCATGTGGGGGGCGGAGGGGGGCAGAAATACTTGGAGATCAGTGTCTCCCCTTTGGGGGGTGGGCAAGAGCTTCCACTGCACTGGCCCCGAAGGAGGAGTTGCTGGGAGGAAGTCTTCTATGCATTTTGTTTGCTCCAAGCGAGCGCCCCCCCTCTCCTGACTCCCACTCCCCACCCCCACCCCCACCCCCAGGCCAGGGCAAGGACTACTTTTCTCTCCCTCCAGCCCTGCTGAGTGTTCTGCGCCCCCTTCAGCTCCTGCTTTGCCTGTCCCGTGCAGGAGTGTGAGGAACGGGAAAGAAAGTAGGCAAGGTTGACCAGAAAGACAGATAAAATTGTCTTTTTTTTTTTTTCCCCCTGAAGACATAGTTACCAATTACATCCACAGTGAAAGAACCACTTTAGAAGGGGGCATAGCTGCCCTTACAGTTTCTCTGTTGAAATATTTAGTATCTTTCTGAGCTACAGCCCCTTTTTCTGGGATGTTTTAACGCAAGCATGTCCAACTCACGGCCGGCGGGCCGCACGCATGTTTCGATGTATGACCACATCAGGTTTGCAATTTGTAAAAAATTTCCCTTGTTCGCCCTGGTCGGTTTGGCTCAGTGGATAGACCTTATGTGAAAGGTCCCCGGTTCGATTCCGGTCAAGGGCATGTACCTTGGTTGTGGGCACATCCCTAGTAGGAGGTGTGCAGGAGGCAGCTGATCGATGTTTCTCTCTCATCAATGTTTCTAACCCTCTATCCCTCTCCCTTCCTCCCTGTAAAAAATCAATAAAAAAAAATTTCCCTTGTTCTCTTTGAATATTTTGAACATTGAAACATTAAAATAATCATTAGAAAATCGGAAACCTACCTTAATGGTAGTTAGAATTACACTAAGATGTAGGATCATGTACATTGTCTTTTTGACTGTAGGATAAACACTTGTATGGTGGTTACAGCTAGTTCTTAAGCATATCTTAAAGCATGAGTTCTAAATATAGAGAGGATCTGTGGATCTGCTGCTGGAGTCTCTGAATATAAAATTTGGATGTATTGCCCAGCCTGTGTGGCTCAGTGGTTGAGCGTCGAGGTATGAACCAGGAGGTCACAGTTCGATTCCTGGTCAGGGCACATGCCTGGGTTGCAGGCTCCATCCCCCGTGTGGGATATGTAAGAGGCAGCCGGTCAGTGATTCTCTCTCATCATTGATGTTTCTGTCTCTCTCTCTCCCTTCCTCTCTGTGAGATCAATAAAAGTCTATTTTTTAAAAATCTGGATATATTGTATTTTGGGTAGAAAATAGGTTCTCATTATTCTCAGGTTGGTGAACTAAAAATTTAAGAACTATTATAGTACAGTATTTGGTACCTAGTGAAGAGGGACTTTTTTAGGATTATATACCAAGAGTTTGATTTGCAGTGCATTTTGAAATAATGTATTCCTTTTTTTTTTAGAAAGTAGTAGCTCTTGCGACACAGTTGTTGGGCTTACAGCAATGGCCAGCTCAGAAGGAGAAAATCATACAGTTTCATAACCAGCTGCAGGTAAGCGTAGAATGGCACGGTAGCAGTTGTTTGCCCTGGATTTTAAAATGCCTGATCCAGGGGAACACAATATGAACTAACAGAAGAGAGCAATTGCCACGCTCTTCAAAGTAAAGTGGTTTATTGATTACTAACTAACTAACTAACTAACTAACTAAATTTGCTGAGTTCAATTTAACTGTCCTTCTTAAAGAAAACCAGCAGTCCCACAGACAGGCATGTGCAGACACATTGAACCCACCCATTGCCCAAAGTGCAGGCTGTGCAATATTGCCAAGCCCAATATTCAGCACTGCCAGGTAGGAAGTGCCAATTTTCTCTAAGCACTGAGATTACCTTCATCAGAGCAGAAGCCGCAGAGCTGACATGACATGACAGGCTCAGGAAATTCCAGTTAAGGGAGGGCCCTGAGCCTTTCCATGGAAAGAAAAGGAAACATTTTTTTCCCCTTCAAAATAAGGAGGCAAAGAAGATATTAACAACTCAAGACTTTGCAAACTCCAATTTAGGAAGACCAGATAGCACCGTGGGTTCATTTTGCATAGTGGTTGGATTCTGTGAGCACTGGGCATGCCCACAGTCAGAGGCTGATCTCAGGGGGGATCTGTGATACACACTTAGAGAGACAGTAGTGGGTTTTCTTTAGTGTCTGTTTCTCTATCATCTTTCTTTTTTCCTTTATAAAAAGTCTTTATTGTTGAAAGTATGACATATGTCCCCCTTTATGCCCTATTGACCTCTTCTAGCCCATTCCCACCCCCTACCCCAGGCCTTCACCACCCTATTGTCAGTGACTATGGGTTATGCATATATGTATTCAAGTTCTTTGGTTTATCTCTTCCCACCCACCCATCCTCCCCTGCATTCCCTCTGAGGTTCAACAGTCTCTTCCATGCTTCTATGTCTCTGGATCTACTTTGTTCATCACTGTATTTTGTTGATCAGTTTATTCCACATGTGAGTGAGATCATGCGATACTTGTCTTTCTCCGACTGACTTATTTCACTCAGCATAATACTCTCCAGGTCCCTCCATGCTGTCTCAAAGGGTAAGAGATCCTTCTTTGCTACAGCACAGTCTTAATTACCGTAGGTTTTTATATCTACTGGTACCAATTATAATGGAGGAAGAAGTTATCCCTTACCCTCTTAGGGCCCCAGGCTGGGTCTGAAGATTAAACTGACAAAGATGAGAGAAAAGCATACAAATTTACGGAATTTTTACATGGACCTGGGAGTCTTCACCAAAGAATGCTTGTGAATGTTTGTGTCCCATCCCCCAAATTCAAACGTTAGGGTTTCAACATTTGAATTTGGGGCGCCAAAATTCAGTCCATAGCGCCAAGGTAAGGCCATTGTGGTTGAGATGGAACGAAGACGATACAGTCAAGCAAAAGCTTTGCAAGCGATGAGGGGATGCAGAGGCAAGCATTCTTCTTCGTGTGCTTGGTGCATAGTGCTTTTATTACCCAGGTTAGGTAAAGAAGAGAAGCAACAAGTGGGGAAAGACCATATGCATTAGATCATGCTGACTTTGAAAACCATGTGAGACATTGAGGTGGAAATATTTAGTAGACCATTGAAATTTCATTCTGGCACTTAGAACCAAAGACTGGGGAACCTGTATACAGTAGAATTCAGGTGTAGTTAAAGACATTGGAATGCATGAGATCAGAGAGTTTCAATGGAGAGAGACAGAAAAAGAGAGGAAGGGAGGAAGGGAGGGAGGGAGGGAGGGAGGGAGGGAGAGAGAGAGAGAGGAAGAAAAAGAGAGGAAGGGAGGAACGGAGGGAGGGAGGGAGAGAGAGAGAGAGAGAGAGAGAGAGAGAGAGAGAGAGAAGAGAAGAGAAATTACAGAAGGCTAATATGGAAAGAATAATCAGAACTCAAAAGAGAGATAAAATGGAGCCAAGGAAAGCCCCGGTAAATTTCACTACAGAAGCCAGTTGTAGAGAAAGGTACAGGAATAAAGGAGAATTGAAAAGTGAGAGCAACTGTTAAATATGAAGAATTGGAAATTACTATTTGAATTTTAAAATGAGATTACTGGCCCTAGCTGGTTTGGCTCAGTGGGCAGAGCGTCGGTCTGTGGATTAGCAGCAGTCACCAACCGGTGGTCCCTGAGATCCGAAAGGTTGGCGACCGCTGGCCTAAAGGGTCCCAGGTTCATTCTGGTCAAGGACACATGCCCTGGTTGTGGGCTCGATCCCCAGTAGGGGGCATGCAGGAGGCAGCTGATCAGTGATTCTCTCTCATCATTGATATTTGTTTCTCTCTCCCTCTCCCTTCCTCTCCGAAATCAATAAAAATATATTTATAATAAAGAAATAAATAAAATTAGATTTCTGGTGATTTTAACAGTAAAATGAAACAACCCAGATTACAATAGATTGAATAATAATTTGAAGGAAGGGTTTGTGGATCTAGTTAGAGTTGTGTTTATAAATAAGAACCTTCAAGTTTCAGCTTAGTTGAACCATTTGTAAATCAGTCTTAAGCCCTAAATCTGCAATTTTGCTCTAGGCTTGTGTTGGTGTGATGTTAGTGGGCCCAACAGGTGGAGGAAAGACGACTGTCAGAAGAATTCTAGAAAAAGCGTTAACACTTTTACCAATTGAAGAGTTAATACTACGGACTGAATTAACCAACTCCATTTCACAGGTAAATAGTCTACAAAGTAAAACGTTTCTCGGTTGGTTAAGATCATATTTTATGCTTCAGTTACAGCTTCATGTTCTCTCTACATAAGTTGTTCGGTACTTGTTAACTTTATTGATCAGAATTTTGTATTTAGGGAATCATTTGTCGTGAATGGGATTGTTTTTCATTTGAATCTCAAACTGGTCATTGCTAGTGTAAAGTAAAACGATTGATTTGTATGTTTATTGAACGCTTAATCACCTTATTTGATGGAGTGTTAGGTTCTAAGTTTTTAGATAATCAATTGAGTCATCTTCAAATGAATATATCCTAATATTTGTATCCTAATATTTGTATCTTTCCTAATATTTATGTAACTTATATTCTTAACTTTACTGCATTGATTTACCCTTCAAGACCATGTCAACTATCATATCTTATTTCTTCCTTTCTCTGGAATGCAGTTAATATTTATGCATTTAATATGTTTACTCTGGGTCTATGATACATATTCTTTATCATACTTTGATATTATCATTCTTTAATAATACTTTTTTCTGTTCTCATTATACTTTGGTTTTTGACTCCTAGAATTTATGAAGTGATGTTACCATCTACTTTTTACATTTTAACTGGTTAATGTACTGAGCTATGTTGATAGATTGACTAACGTTAAATTGTCCTGGAATTCCTAGAATAACTCCTACTTTTTCATGATATATTTTTATTCCATATAAAGGTAGACTCCAATACATAGCGTGTACCTCAATTTCTTATATAAAGGGATATTATTTGTAATAGCCAGGATTTTTATGATTTGAGTATTATGGCTAGTTTTCATAACACCCATTTTTTTATAGTTCCTTGGAAATTGCTACCTTTATAGCAAACCTTTCTTTGGAGTGAAAGATCTCTTCTAAAACCCTGTGGTCACAGCTGTGCAAACAATTAAATAACTGTACTGATGCCGGAGGAATGCATGGGCCAGACTTCCCAGGCACGGGTGGGAGTGAGGCTCTTGCGATTATCTTTAGAAAAGGAATTTTCTGTCGATTTCACCGGCATAGAGTTACATTTCTCAGATTCCGAAGTCCCCTCCCCTTCAGCCAGGGTCCAGAGCATCCGTTCCATGTTGCAGCCGGTGTACTGCAGCATTCAGGCTGATTCAAGTCCATTGGTCCCTGCACGGAGCCCCATGTGACCCTGAACCTTGTGGGCCTGGGGGAGGGCATCCCTCCACCGGAGTCCCAACAGGCAAAAGAGAGAGAAGAGACACTTCCTGGTTGGGGAGTTGATATGTTTGGGTTTCACGTGCTGGCGGGGGCCACGCCCATTCGGACTCGCTTTCAGGTGCGATGGACAGGCCAGCAGGTCGGCACCTTCCCATGCCACCCAGGCCTAGCTGGGCCTCCGCCTACCTGGCTTTTCCTTTTCCCCTCTCCTGTTCGGTAAGAACCAGGTTGGTAGGGTGGCATCCGGACTGTATGTAGTTAATGTCTTTAAAAACCCACCCTTGCCCTGGCTGGTTTGGCTCAGTGGATAGAGCGTCAGCCTGCGGACTGAAGGGTCCCGGGTTTGATTCCGGTCAAGGGCATGTGCCTTGGTTGCGGGCACATCCCCTTCTTTTTAAACTAGTACTTGTTATTCGAATCTTTATGCAGTGATACTTGTTCTAATAAGTTGTTTATTTTATTTCTTTTGCGCCCTAAATTCATGAAAGAAATGTCGAATAGAAGTGAGTTATTGGAAAAGCTAAGGAACATAAGTGAAGAGTGCTCCGATATTATTCTTTCACAATGCAGTCATTTTGACTGCTTTGGGGCAATATAGGTATATACTAAATTTCGATCTTTCTAGTGTTAAAAACCCACCCTGGATTTTTCTCAGATTCCAGGAAGAAAGGGAAAAGTGGATACTTGGGTTTTAAATCCCAAGTGTGTCACGGTGAGTGAACTGTATGGACAACTGGACCCTAACACCATGGAATGGACCGATGGATTGTTATCAGCAATCATTCGAAACTACGTATATTATAACAGTACAAGCTCTTCAAAGAAAGATAGCGATCTTGTACTAAAATCAAGAATCTCGGATTTAGCTAATGTAAGTGTAGCATGGGGTGATTATGTTTATTTGACTATTGGGGGTTATTTCATTATCTAAAGACTGATATTAAAGCACCGTTACATACGTACTACGGTAAAAGTGAATATAAAAAGTATCATCACTCTAGCCGGTTTGGCTCAGCGGCTAGAGCGTCAGCCTGCAGACCAAAGGGTCCCGGGTTCGATTCCAGCCAAGGGCAAGTACCTTGGTTGCAGGCTCCTCCCCATCCTGGGCCCTGGTCGGGGCTCATGCAGGAGGCAACCAATCGATGGGTCTCTCTCACACCGATGTTTCTGTCTTTTCCTCTCTCTCCCACTCTCTCTCTAAAAATCAATGGAATTTCTGCTCCCCCCTTCATGCTTTGCTGCATCATTTGAATATTACATAACAACATTGTATTATCTTTCGGAGTGCGGGGACTAAACGGAAAGGATGTCCTAAAAGGACATGACCTGAGGTCACAGCATTACTGTCCACTGCGATGGTCACGTGGAGGTCTTCTCAGCTACGGAACCCTCTGCCTTTTTTATTTTTATCGTAAAAGAAAGCAGATTGACATATAGTCCATTTTAATGGGAACGGGTGGTCAGATGAAAACGTAAACATGATTGTTCACTTATTTTAGGTTTTCCAACTTCGTGCCTTTAATACATCAGATATGAGTGCTACTACGTTTAAGAAAGGGATGGAGAAAGAGGTTCAAGTTACCGAAAGCGAGAGTAAGTATGATGATTCAATTTCATCTAGATGACGGACTAACCCAAAAGGGCAAGCTGACCCATTCTGAACTTCGTTTATATATATTTTAAACGTTTTTGATGCGTGTGCTTGTTCTTGTGCTATTTCTTTTGTGTGTGTGTGAGTGCGCTCATTTGAAATGTGTGTCATTTTACCGTTATCTTACAGCCCAGGTGATTATGTCCCATAGACACCAGGCTCACGTAGAGCCCTTTTGGTTTACACCAAGTAGTTATTACGGGTAGAAGTACACCGGGTGAGCAGCAGCCCGGCCACACTGCAATATAGTCACTGAGTGGGCCCCACGCAGGCTGTACACTCCCAGGCCCGATCACGCGACCCGGGCCTGGTCATCTCTGAATGCATCTGACACCCAGCGGACGCCGCGGTGCTGTGTGCCAGGGGACAGAGATGTATAGTGAGTCCCTGCAGGACCCCTGGCCACTGCTTCCATCCCACCCTGGTGTCGTCCGGGCAGCAGCGCCCCCAGGAGGGCACTTACGTTCCAGACTTTGACAGGGACCTCAGCTGCTGCTTCTGCTCCCTTAGAGCAGCGGTTCTCAACCTGTGGGTCGTGACCCCTTTGGGGATCGAACGACCCTTTCACAGGGGTCGCCTAAGACCATCGGAAAACACGTATATAATTACATGTTGTTTTTGTGATTCATCACTATGCTTTCATCATGTTCAATTTGTAACAATGAAAATACATCCTGCATATGATATTTACATGCCAGGGGACAGAGATGTATAGTGAGTCCCTGCAGGACCCTGGCCACTGCTTCCATCCCCCCCTGGTGTCATCCAGGCAGCAGCGCCCCCAGGAGGGCACTTACATTCCAGACTTTGATAGGGACCTCAGCTGCCGCTGCTGCGTCCTTAGAGCAGCGGTTCTCAACCTGTGGGTCGCCAACCTGTGGGTCGCGACCCCTTTGGGGATTGAACGACCCTTTCACAGGGGTCGCCTAAGACCATTGGAAAACACATCTATAATTACATATTGTTTTTGTGATGAATCACTATGCTTTCATTATGTTCCATTTGTAACAAAGAAAACACATCCTGCATATCAGATATTTACATGACGATTCATAACAGTAGCAAAACTACATTGATGAACTAGCAACGAAAATAATTTAATGGTTGGGGGTCACCACACCATGAGGAACTGTATGAAAGGGTCGCGGCATCAGGAAGGTTGAGAACCACTGCTCTAGTGTGTCCTCGGGCACCGTTTTCCATCGTCATTAGGAGGCATTTCCTAAATGAGACAGAAATCGCGAGGCTGTAATGGAAGAAGACCGGGAGGGTCCTCCGGTCCAGCCAGCATGTGTCTCTCTGCAGAGTTCGATTGGCAGTGGGTTGTCCTGGACGGCCCCGTGGACGTCTTCTGGGTAGAAAGCCTGAACTCGATGCTGGATGACACTGGGACACTGTGCCTCGCCAACAGCGAACGAATCACGTTAACTAATAAAATAAGAGTGATTTTTGAAGTGGACAGTCTCTCTCACGCCAGTCCCGCCACTGTCAGCCGATGTGCAATGGTCTATATGGTAAGTCTTCAAAATCAAATTTATTTTGTGTGTGTGTGTGTGTGTGTGTGTGTAATTGATTTCAGAGAGGGAGGGAGGGAGAGGGAGAGAGAGATGGAAACATCAATGATGAGAGAGAATCATGGATCGGCTGCCTCCTGCACGCCCCCCACTGGGAACCGAGCCTGCAACCCAGGCCTGTGCCCTGACCAGGAATCGAACCGTGACCTCCTGGTTCATAGGTTGATGTTCAACCACTGAGCCACGCCGGCCGGGCCAAAATCAAATTTCTTTACAAAGAACAGGTGCTGTTTCAGATAATAACCACTCATTATCTACAGCACTGTTTTTATAGTTGAATATCTCTAGCTAGAGACTCGCTTTTTAAAAAAATTTATATTTTTATTGATTTCAGAGAGGAAGGGAGAGGGAGAGAATCATCAGTGAGAGAATCATTGATCAGCTGCCTCCTGCATGCCCTACTCTAGGGATCAAGCCCGCAGCCTGGGCATGTGCCCTGACTGGGAAGTGAACCAAGACCTCCTGGTTCACAGGTTGACATCAACCACTGAGCCACACTAGCAGGGCTCTACAGCACTTTCGATGTGAGTGATCCCAGTAGTTCAAAGTGTTGTGTCTTCTACCAGCTCCTAGCCTGAAAATGACTACGAATGTAATTACCAGTTTTGTTAATTCTACTCAGTAATTGGAACGTGGATATTTTCCACAACTGTGAGTCAGGAGTGCCTTCCATAGTGGGGTGAGGCTGCTGGTGGGAAGCCTTTCCACACCCACCGCAGGACTCTGGGGACTTGCAAAACATATTCCCAGGAGATGGCGGAGAGACGGAAGACAACCGGGTATAAGGGTCTCTCATGCATGAAATCCACGATTAGCCACTGTTCGCCCTTCTTCTGATCTGCATAACTCAGTCTAATGAATGACGCTAAGGACGGCGCTGATTGCCTGGGGAAGCAGTGCCCTCACCACGTACACATAACCCAACGCACCTCTCTACACATACCCCCCGCCCCCCGCCCCATGCTGTTGACTTGCAGGACTGTCATTAAGAATCAAAATATTCCAGAGAAGGGTCGTTCCTTGGCCTTTGTTGATCACTTGCCCTTGAATGAAGGATGGTTCTAAGCCGCACTTGGGCATTGGGGAATTCAAGAGGGAGAAAGTAGGCGGACACTGTCATTTACCTAAAATTATCTTGTACGGTTTGTTGTCAGGATCCTATTGATCTGGGATGGGAGCCTTACGTGAAGTCGTGGCTTGCAAAAACGTCTAAAATCATGAGTCCCTCAGGAGTGGATTGTCTTGAGTTCTTGATTAAAAATAGTGTCAAAGATGGGCTACAGTTTATAGAGAGACATCAGAAATTTCAGCCCCTTCCTGTCCAAAACATCACAATCGTTACAACGCTCTGCAGAATCCTGGACGCCTTCTTTGAATTCATGGGTAAAAATGGAGGCTTTGGACAATGTAAGTTTTTCCTCCCTAAGTCATACTAACGATGCCATATGTTAGCTAATGTGCTGAAAAATAAACTCCCACAGAAGGTATTCGTGGCATAAATTGATTGAGCCTTTCTTGGTGATGCATTTGATAACCTATGCTAAAAATAACCATATACTCCAGTGTTTCGTATTCTCGGAATTTATTATAAAGAAATAATCACAGAAGTGTTCAGATTTAGCATAAGGAGCTTTATCTAGAACAGAACTATTTATAATCATACAAACAGCAAGAATCTGAATTCCAGCAATAGGAGAATGGATTAATAAATGATGCTGCAACAGTATCATGTTTCATTGGAGAGACATGAAGAGAGTCTTAAAATAAAAAGCAGAAGCCCTAGCCAGTTTGGCTCAGTGGATGGAGCATCAGCCTGCGGACTGAAGAGTCCCAGGTTCATTCTGGTCAAGGACACATGCCCTGGTTGTGGGCTCGATCCCCAGTAGGGGGCGTGCAGGAGGCAGCCAATCAATGATTCTCTCCCATCATTGATGTTTCTTCTCTCCTTCTCCCTTCCTCTCTGAAATTAATCAACAAAAATATATTTTGAGAACTTGACAGAGGATACCTAAATAGACACTTCTCCAAAGAGGACATGCAAATGGCCAAAAGACATATAAAAAATGTTCAACATCAATAAATA